GGGGGTGGGGGTGGGGGAAGGACGTGACGGAAGGACGTGACGGAAGGTTCCCTTGGCACTTCCGAGCTTCCATTTGTCCAATCTGAGGGCCTGGCACGCTTCCTGCACAGGCCTAGGCACCATGAGGCTGTGGGGAGGCCGGGAGAGGAACAGACAAGCCCCCTCCAGGTGGAGTCTTCTGCGTCTTGGGCTTTGGAGACAATTGAGATGTGAGTTTCTGGGTGTTTCACGTCCAGAGTGGGAGAAAGTCCATGCGTTGAGGAGATGGCAGGGGCCCTGTGCCTAGGGACAGAAGCCTTGTCACAGCAGCCAACTGACTGCTGTCTTAATTCAATTTGGTGGCCAGTTGCCATGGAAACCACGTTACTCATATGGTCCCTGATGCTGTTGATCCGTGCCCCCAGATCCTGTCACCCCATGTCTCTGCCGGTCTCCATGTCTCTCCCAAGTCATCTTCGTTGGAGGGACTGAGAGCTGGGGATGGGAAGGCCAGCTGGTCCTGGTGGGCAGCAGAGGACATGGGAGGCATGTGGTGTGTGGAGATGACTGGCCATCCTGGGACACGCAGGAGACAGCCAGATGCTCTATGACAAGTTCTCCAAGTGACAAGGGGACACAGAATCAGGAAGTGCTTTTTTTCTGGGTCAAAGGGGTTTAAGAGTGGAGGCCCAAGTCGCTAAGGAATCTCGCCCCAGGGCAAACATGACTGGTTGGACACATAAGCAGGCCTAAGTTAGGTTCACAGAGTTCTGTCCTAGACCCTGGTCACCACCAGATGCCCCCCTCCTTGGACCTGGAGTGTACCTGGAAGGCAAGTGAGTACCAGGTAGCCCAAGTAAGCAAATTGAGTACATTTCTCCATTCACACAGCCTTGATGAATTTAAATGTTTTTTTTCCTAAATGTCATAGTTTAGCTGTGCTATTAGGCAGTGATTTTGCCACTGTCTAGAACAGCTTCCATGGGAAAATATTTCAAGAGTGCTCCCTAGAAGATCTGCAAATGAATTGTTAGAGTACAACCTGCTCCCAGATTGGGAATGATCCATCTTTGTAATATGGTCATATGCAATCAAAATGCCAACCAGTTCATCATATGGTAGATTAACTGTGCCTCCCAACCTCAGCCTGGTGGGGAGGAGCCTGCTCAACTCACTGGGGACCTAGCTTGCATGTCCTCACATCCCTTGGGGTGCGAGCATCCTCTTGCCCCTTAGCTCTGCATGTAGTCTCCTGTGGAACCCAATACCTAGCTCCAGCCATTGCAGCAGTTAGTGGGCTCTCTTACAAGGTCACTTGGGGGGAATTGGTGAGGTATCAGAGTTTACCCATAATGTCACCATGTATCAAACAGAAACTACAGTTATGAGTACCTACTGTGTGCAAGGTACGTGCCTGAGCTTCAAGATAAATATTAATAAACTTCTTTATAGCTACATCCTACTTTCTTTTCAGTCGCTACTTCTGGGTCCCTCCTGCACCACACGTGCACTCCTTACAACCATATGAAATCATTCCCTGTGTGCATTCTTGGAGATGGTGCTGTGATTGTCTTAATTCCTTTCCTACTAAAAATCTTTGGTAGAAAGAGGATACCTCACTCAGTTGTAGCATCTAACATTTCCATCTGGAAAACATAATTGCACAGGTATACACTTGGAGCCCACTGAAGTGGATGAGGGGTTTCCATAGTTTTCTAGCAGTCACCAACAAGAGCTGTTTGTTTTTGCTTGGAAAAGGGCACCTTGCTGAGTGGTTATGGGGTAGTGTGCCAGAGAGGTCTTGGCCCACACTGAATACCATCAGTGGCAACGAGAACAATGTTGCGAGAAAAGAGCTTTCAGTGAATTTTGATCATCAGACTTTACAGGGGCACAGGTGAAGGGTCAGAAGCACAGGAACTTGGTGTGTCTGTGTCAGTCTGCACTGGAATAGGGGCAGTGCCAGGCTGCCAGACTCTCCAGTGAAAGGCAGGGTAGGTACAGGAATCGGGAGGCAACGTCTCCCACCTGACTGAAATACGGAGCAGACAGTGCGTGGGGGCCTTGCCTAGCTGCACAACTGTGTCTGAGTGCCTGAGTCTAGCCACGCCTTCCCACCAGGCATTTCTGCAAGTGTGTGTAATGCGCTGCTGGCCTGGAGCCCACAGTCAACAGCCATCAGATGAGCAGAATAGACTTGCCCTTGCGCCGTTGCCTGAATCTGCCCGGGTGATGTGTGTGGGTACACGGGGAAGCTATGTCAAGATGGACAGACTCACGTTCTTGGTGCTTTGGGGTATGGGGTGTGCAGAGGCAGGTGGAATGCATGCTTGGGTCGCCGTCAGAGGCATGGCTACTGGACACATAGTGGCCAAGACAGAGCAAGACACGTCCATGTGCTCCCTGGGGAGTGCCCTCTGTGGGGACACTGAATCTGAGATTGGTTCCCTGGTGGAGTAGGTAGTCTGGGGACAGGAGTGCGTCTCTCCAGGGATTCCTGCTCCCTCGTCTCTGTGGGGACGGGAGGAGGCTTGGCCCCAGAGGGAGCTAGACAGGCAGCGATGGCCTCTTCTCCATCTGGAGAAGCTTGGGCTGGACAGAGATCCAGAGGTCTTCTTCATCCTTCTTCTTCTTCTTCCTCTTGTTCTGCGCCGGCTGCGGTCTGCTCCTGCCTGGCCGGCTCCAGCAGCAGTGGCAGCAGATGAAGATGAGCGTGAGAACCACGACGAGTGGCAGCCCCAGGAGGATGGCCAGGCAGACGGTGTTGAAGATGCCCTCCTGGTGCTTGGTCACGATGATGTCCCAGATAGAGTTGAAGAAGGTGATGACTCTCTCCATGGTGCTGGGCTGTGTGGGGCTCACGGCCAAGTCACTCGCGAGCAAGTCCTGGGCCCCGGAGGACACAGCCTCGGCCACTTGGAATTTATTCCTCTTTCAGCTCTGGGCCTGAGCATGCCATCGAAGCCCCTGAGGAGAGAAAAACCGAGACGTGAAGAGGAATGCAGTGGAGGGTGTAGGGTTCCCCTGTTTAACTTTGGCAGGCTGTTTTATGATGCTGGGGTGGACCTGGGGCCTCGCAGGTGCTCTGAAGGCTCTAGCCCTGAGCTCATCCCCAGCCCTGTGGTTTTAGTAGCCTCATAGATTTTAGGTTTACAAAGGGAGGAGAAAGAAGAGCAGATTTTCAAACAGTCCACTGAAATTTTATTGTGACTCAATGAAGAAGGTAAATGTGTGCGTTTGGTCAATAAGCACCAGTCCGTTCTTGCTGTGTACACACACACTTTGGGGTTTACTATACAAACATTACCATTCCATCCGATCCCGCGCAGAGTAGCTGATCACAAACTCTTGGGCACGTGAATCGATGTGAGTAGCCAGGGTTCTGAGGAGGCGCTGGCCCTCCAGACCCTCTGCGGTGGCAGTTCTCACTCTTTCCCCACTGCCGCCCACCTGCCAGGTGCTGGCCGCCCACTTCCCACAGGACGCTGCTGGATGTGACCCTCTGTGAACATGACTTGCCCTTCCCCATGCTAACTAAAGCTCAAGCACAAGATGCAATGTCTATTCCTTGCTGCCTGTGGCAGGGGACCTGAGCCTCCTCCAGGCTCAGAGGACACTGTCCTCAACTTGGCCCACCCCTGCCTTCCTTGGTATCCTGGTGCATGCCTCCTCCCCTTCCCAGGCCCCACTCCGGGCCTGATTCTCGGCACCTTCTCCTCCTTCCTCACCTTCCTCTCTACTTTCTGTTCCCAAGACTCCTTCACTGCCTGCTCCTTTGTGTCTCAGGGGTAAAGAGCCTTTCAGCTCCTTGAAAACGGGGGTGTTTGGACCCCCTGCCCCGGTGCTGACCTCAGTGTACGGGGACCTTCTCCTGTTCCCGCACAGGGCGGCATCTCTTGCTTATTACCCCTCTGCCTCTCCACGGGCACCCCAGGGCTCAGCTCTCAAGTGTCACGCCACAGAGGCTCCCTTGGGTCCTGGAACCCACAGGTTCTTGTGTCCAAACAAGACTTTGAGGTCAGGCATGATTCATGGGGATTTAAGAGACCTCTTGGTACCCAAATACCAGAATCGCTGATTTTCAGGTTGTAGACTTTAGAGATCATCCTGGTCAACTGTCTCACTGAAAGATGACCCACCTGAGGCCCAGAGTGGTGAGGTGACATGTGACATGCTGGAGGCCACACAGAGGGGCGGTGAACACCCAGACCCAAGGATGGTGGGCAAGTGGAGGAGCCGGCAATGATGAGCTGTTACTTCACGTTAGGGTTTACTTGATACTTTTCTGATCACTCCACATGCACTTTATCTTTGAAGCACCCAGCAGGATGGTGCTGTGCCCTGGACGGAAGCACCAGCGGGTAACTCAGGCTCACCCATTACCTTGCACTGGAGCACAAAGGCATGGCCCTGCGGGGTGCGGTGTTACATGTGGCATCCCATGGTTGTCCTTCAAGGTCTAATTCCTTGCATAGTATAATCTATAAATGTCCCATATACCTAGTACCCATGCGCCCATCTAGGCTCCCTCAACCTCAGTCCTGGTCTGCTGGCATGTGACCCCACCCCAGATGCCACTATTTACACAATTTTCCCAACTGTATAAATTGGCACCTACTATTGGGCCCTTGGACCATAGAGACTGAAGAAATGCTAGAATAGTGATAATTTCAGCTAATTTTTATTAAGCACTATTATGTGCCAGGCTCTGCTCTAGGCACTGTGCACCTATGAACTCATCTAACCATCACTGTACCCCTGTGAAGAAGGTGCCGTTGTCTCCCATCCCCAGCTGAAGAGGTAGAAGCACAAGTCATGCAGTGAGTGGCAGAGCTGGCCTTGCTCATTCTGGGGAGTTTTGTTCCAGATCCCCAAGGATTGAGCTGTTCACAGGTGTTGCTCTGGGACCTCCAGTTCCTTTGTATGGAATTAACCCATTTCTGGCAAGAAGCCCAGGATTTGCAGAATCTTACAGTTCCTGGCTATTCCCCAGACTGACTTAAACATTTATCCCAGCCTATTGTAGAAAAGACTGCAAAGAGATTTATTTCCCATTGTTAGACACTTCCAAATGCATAAAGAAACAGCATAAGAACCAAGTCCTGCCCAAGTGCAGGTTTATAGAAAGCAGCTGGCTGCCCAAACCCATTGCACCACAAAGGAAAGCGCTCTGAGAAGCCACGTCCCCTGGCTGGAGGCTCTGCCCAAGTCCCCAGGGTCTGGTGACATCCCAGGACTTGGGTCTGCTCACACATGGTCACACCGCCAGGCGGTTTGTGGGGAAAAGCAACCCGCAGACCTGCAGCCCTCACCCTTCTGTCCACGCCTCGCCTCTGGTTGGATCTTCCTTTTCCTTTTGCCGTTGCCTCGCTCTGTGTGGCCTAGGTGTGGGCTCCCCTGGGGGCTGGACTTTCCTGCTCTGCTGGGGAAGACTCCTCGGGTGCTTTTCTCTTACTGGATCCTGCACACGGCCCTCCTGGGACCGAGTGCTCCTTGCACGGTGCCGCTGTGACTTTGCGGCAGCATGGTAGTGACGCCACCACCCCACATGATTGAAGGGCATCTGGGGCCCACTTTGGGGTCTTCCAGAGAGAGAGGAAGGGTGCCGAGGCCTTTGGGAATATTATGGCAGTTTTCCTGAAGGTGGAGTCAGTCACTTAAGGAGGAGCTTGAAAGATGAGTGGGATTTTGACAGAGAAATATGGGTAAAAAGAATGTTCAGACATTCCAGACAGAGAAATTTCCAGACTGTGAGCAGGAGTGCAGGACATCTTTTGATGGGCCTGGGGCTCCGGGTGGGAGAGAGGATGGGGAGACACACTAGAAGGGCAAACTGTGGCCAGATAGAGATGGGGCTGATGTTTATTTGGGAGTTTTATGATAGCAGAACCCTGTGATCTGGGCTGCCCTTTAGAAGAAGTTAACAAGATGTAAGAGCTCTGGGAAATGTTTGAGAGAGCTCTTCATCAATCCACCCGCATTAACTGGACATCTAATATGTGCCATGTTCCGTGCCAGGTGTGGGTTTGGCAACAAATGACGAAGGTATAGTTTTGATATCAGGGGGCCTTGTATAATCCAGGGGAGTTACTATTATTGAAGGCTCATGTCATGAAAGAAAAACATAATAAGCAAATTCCAACCTAGGCTGCTTAGCTGGCTGAAATAGATGCATGCATTTGAATTACGTGTCTATCTCCATGTGCTCGGCTCTCCTACCCCTCCCACCTGTCTTAAACTCCTCCATCCCATGGCACCTAAAGCAGCCTTAGAATAAACAGAGTTCTTTTCAAGATAAAGCTAAGTCAATAACTCACTTCTGCATTCTTAAAGGTACTTATTTGAGTCTGCTCTCCACAGCCAAAGAGAGTATTCATTAACATTTGGGAACCCAGTCTGGGGAAAATTCGATTAAAAGGTATTCTTTATATTTTTTAATCTAAGAATTCTCTTCTAGGCCCCCTAGGTTACTTGCTGAGCTCCGCTAATCTATAGTGTTTCATTAGTATTTATGAGCTTTGCATTATTAGCATTTCCAGGAAACAATCAAATAGCTCCTCGGTGGTAGGAATTAAAAGTCAGCGCTTCTGTGGGATGTTTTGCAGAAGCAGCCGGGCCTGGGCCCTGACTGTGTTCTGGGAGACCCTGGCTTTGTTGGCTTTCAACTCTGACACTGTTTGAAATGCAATTCATCTATTCTAGCCCAGCGATGGGTGCTAATCAACCTCCACTGTCTGACTCTGGTTGTGGGTGTAAAGAGAGAAGAGGGGAAGCATCACCTTCAAGTCCCTGGGAAAGAAATATCACTTATCTCTATATCCAGAACCCTTGCAGCCTTTAGCCAGGGGGAATCAGTCATTTATTTTTTTTCTTCCACAAGCTCTCATCTGCCTGTGTCCAAGAGGAACCATGTCAGAGACAGAAGGCCTGGGTTTGAGCCCCAGGTCAACCCGCACGACCCCAGCTAATAAGCTTCCTTTGTAATGAAGTCAGAGGATGAAAAAGGCTCGATATATTCCATGTATTTTGTAAACTGTAAAATACAATACAAACGTAATCCATAAATTAGTGGGTTATCTCCAATAACAGTGGACTGATTCTAGCCTTGAGCTTTTCCTCCCCACCCCTCACCTCCAAGCCCCATCCTTGCTGCTGAAGAACCACAGTTCCCACCTCGTTCAGATGGAAAGGGCTTCGTGAGGGGCCTCCCTGCTACGGAGTCTTCAGGTCTGTGGCTGCGCTTCTGGCAGATGGAGAAGGGTCACCTGGGGAACACCTGAGGGTCCTTGAGCTCCCAGGTGAGGCCCGAGGAGACTGGCTGCCTGCAGGCCCCGCCTCCCTCCCAGGCTTCGCAGCCCCTAGAAGCACACAGAGGTGGGTACAGGGAAGCCTGAACCAATCTCCGAGAGCCAACAGCTGCTGCAGGGGGGTGTGCAGGGCTGGCACGGGGGCTGGTGTTCCTTCTAGAACTCTCTGAGAAGAGGGTGAGCATTCTATTTAGCACTGGCCTCTCATTGTTCCTATTTATGGGATAAAATAGTATATGTCAAATTCTAGAATAGTGTCTGTCCAGTAGTAAATGCTTTCTAGAAGTGTTAACGATAAGGACCATGATGGCACCCAGTTAAATCCCAAGGCCAGCTCCAGAGTGACCTGCAAGTTCTGTAGATCCTCAGCCCTCTTGTAGAGGGAGGAGTGGGGAGCAGGAGGTTCAGGTCTCAGCCAGAACCCTGAGAGGTGTCCCTGCTGCAGTGCCGACCTGGGCGGGTGCAAGGAAAGGCCTCCCCCGTCTCTCCTCAATGGCTTCCACTGTGCTTTCTGCCTTGGGTTGCAGTTGACACTGGGCTTGCTGTGTCTCCTGTGCCCAGGGATCCCGGGTGACGGCAGGATGGAGTGCAGGCCAGGAACGGTGGCTCACAGAGTTTAGCTAATGACAGAGATTCCTGGGCCCCACTCCTGGAGGACCT